TGGAAGGAGAAGAGCTGAGTCAAGCAGAATTTCTATTTTTAGTTGAAGAATCTGCGTACTGATTTCCATAGGGACTGCACTAGGTTACACTCCCATCAACAGTGTAGCAAGATTCCTTTTTCCCCCACCTCGCCAGCATTTGTTAGGGGTTGGCTTCTTGATGACAGCTGTCTTTCTGGAGCGGGATGGAATCATGGTGTTTAATTTGCATCTCTTTAATGGCAGGTGGTGCTGAGCATTTTTTCATATATATTTTGGCCATTTGTACTTCTGCAAAGTGTATTCACTTCAGCTGCTCATTTTTTAATTGGGTCTTTTTAGGGAGGCCTAATTTTTTGAGTTCTTTATGTAGTCTTGATACTAGTCCTGTATTGAGAAATGACTGGCAAAAAAAAAAATTCCCATTCTGTAGGACATCTCTTCAAGATGTTAGTCATTTCCTTTGATGTGCAGAAGCTTTTACTTTAATGTGAACTTATTTGTTGGAGTTATTTCTTGTGCCACTGGTGTTCTAACCAGAAAGTCCTCACCTACACCTATGTCCTAAGGGTTTTTCCTATTTATCTTCCAGCAGGTTTAAGTGTTTCTTTCTACATTTAAAACTTTGATCCATTTTATACATGGTGAAATACATCAGCCTAGATTCAGTGTTCTGCATGTGTAAAGAGCTAGTTTCCCCAGCACCATTTATTAAAGAGTGTGTCTTTCCTCAGTGTGTGTTTAATCTCTTTTTAAAAAATCAAATAGCTGAATATGCCCAACCCAGGCGGACTAAGTGCCCCTCCGTCCACACTTCATTTTTTCACCACGATACTTCTAAGCTGGCCTTTCAGCTGGATGAGAAGCTCCTTGGGCTCCAGGTCTATGAACCTTCCTATTTCTGTTCCTAGAGTCAGCACATAGACAGGACTCTTCTGTGCCTTCTGGGACCCTGGGCTTGTTAGTCTACTTCCTGTGTCTATGGGAGACAGCTATGCAGCCTCCAAAAGCCAAGTCACATGTTTGCATATTGGATTGGCGCAAAGGGTGATGGATATTAATAACTTGGTTTACAAATGAGGAAACTGAGTCTCATCCAGGTTGTATTAAGTTTCTATCACCATAACCAACACCTGAGATAATGAAGGTGCACAGTTTCAGAGCTTTGACTCCATGATCAATTGGCAGGCAGCTTTGGGCTGGTGGTGACTCAGTATGACATGGCAGGAGCACATGGCAGAGGATGCTTGTTCACCTCATGGCAGCTGGGATGCAAAGGGAGGAGGAGCCGCAGTTCCAGTACCCCTTTCAAGGGCATCCCCCACATCCTGAAGGTCCCTCCAACTCCAGTAGCACCACAGGCTGGGGTCCAAGCCATCGATCCAAGTCTTGGGGGACATTTAAGGCCAAAGGTTCTCACCCAGCAAACAGCAGAAGCAAGACTGTAACCCAGATCTGCCTCTAGATGTGTGGCTATGACATCTGCTCTCTGTACATCCCTAACCCAGGCCCACTCAAAATGATTTCCTTATGTTGGCCTAATGGTTCCCAGGTTTCATAAAAAAATGTCACCTGGGCTGGGGATAGAGCTCAGAGGCATAGGCACCTGCCTGGAAAACTTAAGGTCCTGAGATGGATTCCCAGTATCATAAAGAGAAAAGAAAAGAATGTCACCCACACCATTCCTGAAATCACACTACAGGTCCTATCACTATAGAGACATTGAGAATGAACACCTCCCTCCCATTTATGTGTTACCTACTAGTGTTACCCAGGAATTCAGCTAGATACCCTGCTTGTATCCTCACCCCTAAACCAGCCACTCACATGAGGGAACCCCCAGTCCCAGGAAGATATGCGCTGCACTGATGTTAAAACCTCAGAAGCAGAGAAAGCTGTCTCCTCTGACAGCAGCAAGTCCTGCGGGGGACAGGAGCACCCTGGCCAGCAGCACCTGTGGTTAATGGGTTTGTTGAGGGGCTTTTTCTCTTGGAGAGGGTTGCAGAGACCACAGATCTGCCATTTCCCCACCCATCGAGCCTACAGGTGGGTAGATAGGAGATAACTCAGGACTTTGATCTTGCATAAAATGTTCACATATATTCATTTCTATTCATTTGCTGTGTCTATTTTTTATAGTTTTTCTTTTCACTTACTCTCTCCCCACAAAAAAGATCACCCCTGCCACCATGATGCATTCAGCAGTGTCTACAGATGCTTCAGAAAGGATGCAGAAATGATCCAAAGCAGTGGTCGGAAACACAGCATTTATGTACAAATTCAGGATTTCTCACCCTCCCTGACTTTTACCAGAGAAATCCCCTGGCCTCAGCCCATCCCATATGCAGTCTACGTGAATCTGAGGTCAGGCCTCCCCTGGGAAACGCAGGGGTGCCCTTCACCTTGGTGGAGAGATCAGGAGGCGACCTGGAGCCCAGCTGGGAGCCCTTCCCTTGTTTGGTCTATGTTCCTTTGGTCTGGTCCAGCCTCATGACTTCAGCCTCCTCCTCTAACTCCGACTCGGTTTTGGGTTCCACACTACGTGTGTGAGTTCTGCTCCCTTTGCTGTGTCTCTGCTCCGTGCCTAAGACACAGTTCAGCTTTCCTGAGCTGGGTCTCCCCAGCAGGCCCTCCCCAGCTCAGGAGAAAATGCCCTGGCAGACTTCAGGAGGCGTTTTCCACCCTCTCTCCCCCAAAACCTGGTGCATCTACCATTCCACACCCTCCTTTGCACCCTTCCCCCACCACACACCTCGCTGCGCGACAAGCCTGGTCCATTCCACTGTCACCTTTCATCTGGGCCCCTGCTTCAGCATCCCTTCCGGATACCCTCAAGCAGTGTCCCCCTTTTGCTCAGAAGGAAACACAAGCTGGTTTCCACGGTCCACCCCCACCAGGGAAGCGAAAGCATCCCAGCAGGGTGGCACTCACTGACCCTTTTGGCAGTGGTGGTGAGCAGAGCTTTTAACAGGAGGGATAGTCAGTTTGTATGACACTGAGGCCCTAGCATGACTGCCCAAGACGCTGTCCGATTGTGGAAGAAGCAAGCATCCCTGTCCCTTTGAGGCTCTGAGTCCCCTAGCCCAGAGCAAGGGCAGTGCCACCCCATTTAGACCTTGGCTGAGGGGCAGGGTGCAGGCACAGGGCAGGCTGAGCTGCCACACAGAGCCCAGCACTGGCCTAAACTCAAGTCCCCCTGGATAATCCGCCACGTCCAAGTTGCATTTACAACCTGGCACCACAGGGGGCGTTGAGCCGGGCAGACACAGGGCTTCTAGGCTCTCAGGAGGAAGTCCCAGAGGAACAGGGACAGGTCACTTTCTTCTGGCCTCTGGGAGTCGGCCACTCCCCGTGGAGGTGGTCTCCAAGCCCACAGCTGAGCTGGCATGGTTGCCAGGAAGGCTGGGGAAGAAAGCGCTGGGCCCTAGAAGGTGGACAGAGGCCAGCGATCCTCAAGACCAGGGGATACTGCAGGAAGATCCGGGTGATGAGTCCACGGGGGATTTAAGATGAGGAGGCCACAGGGCCGCGCTGGGGTGGGGCCACAGCTGTGTGTGGTCTGTGGAACTGAGCTTGGGACTCGGCATCGGGTAGGAGCAGCTGCAGGGTCCAGCCCCAAGACAACATTGGGCAGGACTAGATGTGAAAACCAGCCTCAGCTGAGTACATGTGACAGCTAGACCCTGTGCTAAGTACTTCATTACCGAAGAAAGACCCAAGTGCTGGGGAGGTTGAGGGCTCTTAGCCAAGCCTAGAGGAAGTAGAGACAGGTGGGCGTCTCTTCCCAAAACACCTCAGGCTGCCAGAGCCCGGGCTGCCATCCGTCCTGCCCCAGACCACGTTGTTCCTTTGCACTTGAGTGACCCAGTGGCTGACCCTGATTTCTAGTTGTGCACAGCGCTTTGCAGTTTGCAGAACACTTTCACAAGTCCTGCCATTAACTGAGGCCAACCCTGGGTCAGGTGCTTCCCAGGCTGCCCTGTTTGGCATCACCTGGTGATGTGCCTTCTCCGGGCTTCAGTGTGTCCAGAAGGCTACAGTTTTGTACAGTTGGGCCAGGAAGTGTCTGGTGAGGGGCAGTGATGAGGGATTGTCTTGGCTTAAACAAGCCCTGGAGGCCTTGGACAGGCTAAAGAAAACCTGTTTCCTGGGCTCCAGGAAAATGTACTCAGTGGCAGCAACAGGATTCCTAACACGCAGCTTCTTTTTTGTTGTTGTTTTTTCCTTCTGGAGCCAGGGTCTCCCTATGCAGTTCAGGCTGGCCTTGAGCTCACTGTGTGTAGCACAAGCTGGTCTTAAACCCATGGCAATCCTCCTGCCTCAGCCTCCTGAGTGCTGAGATCACCCGTGTGCACCAGCACTCCAGGCCCCATGTTCTATTTTTAACTGGAATGTCTCTCTCTGCACTAGCAATGGGCCCCGGGGGATGCTGAGGAGGAGCGCACTGTCAGCAAGACCCAAGCAATAAATAGCAGAGGGCAGAGGCTGATCTGTTATGAGGGTGCCCAACTAGACAGATGGACAAACCCATCGGGCCGGCATCTCTGCCAAGAGTGGCACCGGTCACCACACACAGTCTGATGGCCTGTGTAGTGTTCCAGGAGGACAAGGAGGAGGTCATGGCAGGTGTCAGGGTCAAACAGATGGGGCTGGGTGACCTTTCCCAGAGCACACTGGGCTGGGTGGGGCACTGTGGGGAGATCTGCACATCCTCATGTGAACTAAGTTTTCCGTGCTCAGGCCAGGATGGGGTTGGACTGGAATGATGGCAGTTTCAGGTGCAGGGACCCATCTTTCCCCAGGGGCAGACATTCACAGGTCGAAACTTCTGTGGCTGGCACTTCTGTCCTAGCCTTCAACAGGTCTGCTGGAGTTGGGTCCGATTTCCACTGGGGTGGGGAATACCTCGCTGTCAGAAGGCTCCTGCTTTGGCCACAAAACAAGTGCCTTTCTCAGCCCCCAGCCCTGATACTTGGAAGAGCTGAGGTGCTGGCTAACTCTGCTTTGCCTTGGTTTTCCAGGAGAGACCCACAGAGCCCAACGCCGGCGTGGACAGCTCGGCGTCCCCATCGGTGGCCCAGCTGGCCGGGCAGTTTCGAGAGCAGGCAGCAGCGGCCAAGGAGGTGAGGCTGGAGGTGGACGCTCCTCTTTCCTGGGGGCTGCCAAGGGGAGGTCTGCCCTGGAGAGGGAGGAGGAGGCTTGGGAGTGACCAAATTAGGCAAGGAAGCAGAGGGTCCCCCTCCATGGTGAGGAATGTGCCACTAGCTGTGCCTTGAACCTTTCCCCACCAGGGGAGCTGACAGCACTGATCAGGGGGACAGGGAGCTGGGCAGGGAGAGCGGAAGCTGCAGACAGAGAAGTCAGTTCGGATTTGTTTCCGTCTTGATTCTCCATGATGAAAACCTGGATAGGTCAAAGGAAAGGAGTCCCCAGAAGTTCCCAAACCTGGCTCCTGCCAAGTAACCTAGGGGTCAGAGCGGGGGAGGCTAGGCAGATTCCAGACTGAGAATTGAGAAGGAAGAGGACTTGGAGGGGAGCACATTCCCATGGGAAACCAGGGATCAGGAAGGCTGCTATGAGCCTCCCGCTGAAGAAGACTGTGAAGGTGGGCATGGTAGCACCTGTCTGTAATCGCAGTACTCTAGGAGGCTGAGGCGGGAAAGTCACAAGTGAAAGGATTTTGGTGCAGGCCAGGCCGGACATTATAGCTGGTAAAGCCTCAGGTGAAACCAGGGAGCTCCATCTTCCCCACCCCTGGGAATTTACCTATGGCGCCAAAAGAAGACCAATGGGCTACCTGTGCCTCCCTAACGCCCCCTCAGGCTCCACCCCAAACCTAAGCTACATATATGCCTCCACTCCACGTGTTCCATGGAGAGATCGCCAACCCTGGGGGGAGATGCCGCGACCCAGGGGATGGGGGGGTGTCTCTCCCCACATTCTCAAAATAAAGGTCATTTATATTTCATACTTATCTTTTCAGCCGCTGCCCCACAATTCTATCAACAAGTTCAAGCCCAGTCTGGGCAATATAATGACTTGGAAAGACCATGTCCCAAAATAGAAGATTAAAAGAGGCTAGGGATGTAGCTCAGTTCTAAAGCCCTGGGTTCAACCCTTGGTCGAAAAGAAAAGAAAAGACTGGCTGTGGGAGGGCTTCATTATAATTTGGGAGCCTGGGACTGTGTTTTTGGTCTTGCAGTGCGGTGCTCCTTATGAGGTGACAAAAGTCATCCCTAGGGTAAAGGGGGCCTCTCATGGCCCCAGGAGTGGGGCAGGAGGCAAATGAGGGCTACCTTTCTTTTAGGCATACTGTTTGCCACTTTTGTCTTTTGATCCAAGAAATTGGATCCCTCGTTTCTAGACATTATGGACATGTCCTAAAGGACAGAGGAGATGGCTTTGATCCAGGAGCTGGCACTGCCTGAAGCTGGATGCAGGCATCCCTGTGAGTGCTAATTCAGTCTGTGAGTCCCAAAGGACGGGAGAGGAGAGACTGAAGTCAAGGGCACCAGCTCCACCGGAGGAGCCGCTCCCTCCCACCATCCTAGCCATGCCTGACCCCAGGTCACTGCCTTCCTCTTCCTCCCTGTTGCCTGATGAGCTCTCTCTCTCTGTCTGTCTGTCTGTTGCTCTCCCTCTAGACACCAGCCAGTAAACCAAGCAGAAGGAGACCTCCCTGCTCCCTCCCACTGTTCCCCCCCAAGATAGAGCCAGCTCAGAATGGTGAGGAGGTAAGTACGGCGCTGTGGGGCTTGAGGGGTTTTCTCGTTCTTCTAGGAAGAGGCCCCCAAAATCATACCTTTATGCTTCGAAATGTATGTAGGGAATGTCTCCATTTCATATTCAGAGATGAGTCCTGGGAAGTGAACCCAGGGCCTTTGCACTGAGCCATATCCTCAGCCCTCTTTTAGTTTGAGACAAGGACTTGATTCAACACTAAATTGACCAGTCTGCTCTTGAACTTTCAATCCTCCTGCTTCAGCCTCTCAGAGTGCTGAGATCACAGGCATGCACCAGTGCGCCCACCCAGGTTGAATCTCTCTCCCAAAGGTTTCTGCCCACTTCACTTTGGAATCTAAGTTTTTCCCTAATCTTTTCTACTGAGCCTCTTTTATGATCTGAACAGAGACTGAAAGATTTTTCAAGCCTGAGAACTGAGGCAAAATGGATTATCACCACCACACCCAATTCAGGCATTAGAAAAGTTACAGTATTTGCCCAGCTCTCAGGGGGATAGATTCAGAATAATGTGTGCAGAAGGCTCCCGGACAGAGGGGCTATCCTGCCACACAGCAGAATTGCAGTTCGAGAAAATCCCACAGTCCCTTGGGTCCTGGAAAAGCCTGGCTATTGTGTTAGACCCGTGGAAGAAACCCAGAGTGCACAGCGACCTCACTGCCCTGGGATATAAATAGCCAGTGCCACCAGCATAATAAAGATCAGAGCCAGTAATAGATTCCAGCCCCCCCCCCACTTATCTAACTGCAGCTACAACAGTCCCCTCTGCACCCTGTGCCACATCACCGCCCCTGTGGTCACAGCCATGCTGTACGTGGATGTGCAGGCCCGTGTCCTGCATGGGAGGCCAACCCCAAGCCCAGCACATGAAGTGCAGAGGGTTCAGCCACATTTTTTTTCTCCCCTTTTGGGGACCAGCATCCTGACAACCGAACCAAGTCCACCTGCACGAATTTGGACAAGCTCCTTATTCCCCACCTTTTCTCGTCCTAAAAAGTGAAACAGTTGAAGTGCACGTGGCTTTCAAGCCTTTCTGTCAGCCATAAGCAGAAGCCAATCAGAAAAAACAGAAACTCACAGCCACACCTGTTGGGGGATGAGGGGCTGTGAGGGTGGGGATCTGCTCTGAGAATCCCTCACTTCCCTCCCCCAACTAAAGTCTCATTCTAGAATGAGAACCCCGAGGGGCTGGACCATGCAGAGTGTGCTGAGGTCTTGCTGGGTCTCTTCCTGGGTCCTTTCCGGTGCTGGCGTTGACTCTTGGCCTCGTGGGGTCACTAGGCAGTGCTATAACCAAATACCCACCAGCAACTTCTTGTTACAGAGGCTCGATTTCTCCTTCCCCTTAGACTTGATGTCTCTGCGGCTGTGGCCATCCAAGGATGTCCCCTGATAACCCAGCATAGCCCAGAGAAGTCACTGCACCGTTCTGACTGTGGTCCCGTGTTGGCAGAATGAGGACCAGCATGGGACAGACCAGGGCCCCTGGAAGGGCGGGACTCCTCGGAATAAGGCAGAGGGGGCTTGGTTAAAGAAAGGGCTGTGTCAGACCAGTGTAGAGCTCTCTGCCCTCACTACCTGGCCAAGAGCAGGATGAAGACAGAGTTTCCAAGGAGAGACCAGAAAATAGAGTGAATGCTTAATTTTTGTAAAAAATTGTTACAGTGAAGGACACGTTAGCATGAATCTCCCTCAAAATACTCCCTTTGCTTCCAGTATGTTTTCCCCTCCTTCTTCCCACTTCCTGAACCCCAACTGGATGTTCTTTTCATGAGTCTTTTTATGAGGTGTGACCACAAATACGGTGAATGCTGCCCAGCGCCACCCGACAGAAAGGGAAGTTCATAAAACTGTTCCAGGGCGTCCTCATGCACCCTATGCAGCGGATCCGGCACTGTGTGACTTCTGGCCCTTCCTCAAAGTGAAAATGACCACGAAGGAAAACATTGTGAATCGATTCAGGGCAGAAAGGCAGTCACGACCGAGCAACTAAAGACACTCATGAAAGAGGACTTCCAGGATTGCTTCAGATCATGGCAGAGCTGAGGGATAAGTGGTTTTGAAGCAAAGGGAGTATTTTGAAGTGAAATCATGACATTGTGTCTTTTATTACAATAATTTTAAAAATTTTACATGTGCACCCTTTTTTTTTTTTTTTTTTTTTTTTTTTTTCTGTCTTTTTGAGACAGGGTCTCTATGTAGTTCAGGCTGGGTTTGAACTCACTTTGTAGCCCTGGCTGGTCTCGAACTTTCAATGATCCTCCTGTCTCAGCCTCCTGAGTGCTGGGATTATAGGTGTGAGCCACCACGCCCAGCTTATTTTTTGATCATATCTCACAGACTGAGAACCTTCTGACTGGAGTGACCAAGTGCTTAGATACAGGAAAGACACAACCTCCAGGCAGGGCAGGGGTGTCAGGCCAGACCTCGGTTCCTAATGCACAGTGCTGAGAGGGTTGCTGTCCCTCTTCACCCCTGCCCCTCCCCTAAGCTGGGGCCTGAGACAGTGGGGTGCTCACTCCCCTGCCTGAGGCTGGAGGGCCCCTCCCGCAGGCCAAGTGACCAGCAGGCCAGGTGACCAGCAGGCAGCTCTTGCTAGAAGCCTCAGCTAGAGGGGTATTTAAAGCAGTTGAAAATGCTCCCATGTGAAAAATCAGGTCCAAAACCTCTGAAAAAATAAGATATAATTGTATGATATCTTATTTCATATAAACATAGCTCTCTTCATGCAAAAGTTTATAAAGCTGGTTTTTTGTTTTGTTTCGTTTTTTCTCCGAGATTCTGTTAGCTCCACAACGTGTTTGAGCCCTTGGTTAAACTACGCAGGAGATGCTGCCACCTGCTGTCTATCCTGGGAACTGCATTTGCAGTGATGTAGGATTCTGCTGGTAGTTCAAATACTAGGGTTGTATCACGCCTCTCCCGCGTCCCCCGTGGTTTAGCGACATTTGCAGTATGGTTTATTGAATTTCCACTGCCTTCAAAATAAGGTGGTTAGTTGAGGAAGCATTTACAGTATTATTTAAAATGAGTTTGGTCAGCAAAATTGTTGCAGCAGTTTCTGAAACTGTTTCAAAAACACTTGTCCATGTGAAGTCCCACCATCGAGCACAGACACTAAGGACCACCCTGTGGGGCTGGAAGTGCTTTGTGCTCACTGTGGCCAAACAGTTCCTTTAACAGAGCTTTTTCTGCTGCAGGAATGGATGTGCTGATGGAGCCCACGCCCCAGGAGGTGGAGGCACCTTAGCATCACATCCTTTCAAGAAGTCCTGGTCTAAGCCAGAATCAGAAAGAGCTGGGTCTCTTGAGTCCCAGCCAGCGCTTGCCTTTGCTCTCCTTTGGCACTAGGTTTAACCAGGTCACCAGACCCTGGTTCCATCACTGATTCCATCAATCATCCTTAATATTCAGAATATCCCCAAGAGATCAGCATGATTCTTTGGTTCAGGCACATTAGTACACAGAATGAAGGGTGGATAATGCACATCAGTCACAGACTACAGGAGGAGCCCTTCTGGGTTTTGGTCGAGGCCCAACATGAAAATCATCTCCTCCTTCTTCACCCTCATCATCAGACATCGTATCATTTTCATTGTCTGACATAGCTGTGGACATGCGCCATCAAGCCAGGAATTAATCTGACCTCTTCCAGAGAGTAGAGACCAAATTGTCTTCATCTTCATGCAACCAGCCCAATGGCTGGAGTGCGGTAAATGTTTAATACACATGTCTGAGTAGTTGAAATGAGTGCTCAATGTGTTGGAAAGATAATGTATTAAAACATGCCACTGTTGGAATTTTCCAAAATACACTTAGTTCAGGGGAGGAAATTTAATAATATCTCTGTTGGATTTCATTCCTGATCTGTGATTTCTTTCTCTATTTATTTATTTATTCATTTATTGAGTCAGGGTCTTGCTCTGTCATTCAAGCTGACCTTGAACTCACTGTGTAACCCAGGCTGGCCTCCAACTCACAGTGATTCTCCTGCCTCAGCCTCCCAAGTGCTGGGATAACAGCTGTGTGCCAACATGTGCCTGGTCCTTGCTTTGTTTGTAACACACAGAATGGGTGATTGCTTTGCTTGGTTTTGGAATTCCCCCCAGTGGTTGATTCACCTTGTTAAAGGTTACAAAGTGATGGGACTTTTCCGCCCCACAGACATAGTTTACTTCACAATGACAGCGAAGTCGTTCTTCCCGGGCTGGGGGCCTCCTGTGTCACGGATGGCTGCCTCGACTTCTCAGCTCAGTCGAGTGGTCTTGCTCGTAGTGAGATGAACCAGAGACCAAGGGGAGCCGGCCTCGTGCAGGCCTGGGAGCAGTGAGGGGTCAGGAAACGAGTGGCCACTGACATCCCCTTCCAAGTGGGGCTGCTGGCCCACACCACATCCCCCCACCTCACTTGGATGTTTTGATCCATTTTCTCTGTAGAAAGCATCTTCCAATGTCAGCCACGCTCCTAAAATCAAGGTGAAGAGCTCGCCCCTGATCGAGAAGCTCCAGGTAAGTGGGCCTTGGCTCCTTTGACCCAGCCCAACCCTTCTTCTGAGCATGCAGGCTTTTGGAAGGAGCCTTTGAAACTCTCAGGGCTCATACCTAGGGTCACTGGATAGTACCTGTGGGCAGCTGGGCAAACTTGTAATCCTAGCACTCAGGAGGCTGAGGCAGAAGGACCACCATGAGTTTAAGGCCAGCCTGGGATACATAGTGAGTTCAAGATCAGCCTGAACTGAGATTCTGTCTCAAAAAAAATTTTCTTTTCATATCTGATGCAATAGAAGATGTACAGGAGAGTAAATAGCAGCAATCTCAATTGTGTTTCCTGAGCCCACGCATCCATATCTTCTGGGGCTTCTCAGTCTTAGCACAACTGGGGGGCTGTCTGCAAGATATTTAGCGGCATCCCTGGTCCTACCCCCAGTAGCACTTGCTGGTGAGTTGTGACTGTGAAGAAAATGTCTCCAAACATTGCCAAATGTCCCCTGGGGGCAAAGCGACCCTCCCTTCCAGCTCAGGTGAAAAGCACTGCTCTAGGAAGTCCAAGCAGAGGGGAGCAGAATGGGTAGGAGATGTGAGTATCCTGCATTCGTCCTGAATTCAGGGATGGGGCTGGAAGGAACAGGAGAGGTGCTCCCAACACGGGGACAGTGTGATGTGGATGGAAGCACAGAGGCGAGGTGGGCACAAGCCTGGAGCCTGGGCAGGGTCTTGATGGCTCCCCAGCTTTTGCCCAGCATCCAGGAGGCTCACCTGCACTGTCAGGTCCCATCCAGCCCCGTGAGGGACACTGGCTTAACCTTCCGTTCTGAGACCACCAGTGGGATGTTAAGACGTAGAGCCACAGGCTCTGTGTTCCTGGCTGTGGGGAGCTCAGAGAGCAGTTCCCAGCCTGACTCGGGCTCAGGAAAGCATCTCTAGCCCACTGAGGCTGGACACTCTGCAGGGCACCCCTGAAATGTGGTTCCTGCCACATCCCTGGAGCTAGAGAACCCATCCCGCTAGCTCCAGGGACAGGTCATTGCCACCCTAGGAAGTACAGGGCTTCCGTGGGCACACTGAGAATCTCTCACAAGGAGCCAGGCCTCAGCATCCCTCCCAGCAGTCGGCTGAGGGGTACAGTGCAGGTCCCTGCTCTGTCCAAGTGGCAGGGGCAAGTTCCCAGTTCCCGCACTCATTCCCTTTCCAGTCATCTGTGAGACTTTTTTGGGAAATATAGCAAGTTGAGAATAAGTATCTAATTATTGAATGTCAGCAACTGTATAGGGAGTTAGCTGAATCTCACAGGAATAGGAGCCTTATTTTCTCAGGAAAACGTGAAAGGCAACCTCAACTGGGATTTTCTTCTAAACATTCTATTGAACAAGTTCTAAGTATTCTATGGAATGAGTTCAGAACTTGATTCTTCTCAAGTTCGAAGTTTGGTTTTTCTCTTAGCTAGAAAGATCCACTTTGTTTGCAAGCAGCTGTCTAGAAGGAACTTCTCTGCTTGCCTTTCAGCAGGCAAGGGGCTGTCCTTTAACACATGGATACATCCCCCTGTGCCCCAAAGGCTCTGAACCAAGTCTCCCAGCTCCAGGGTTCGGGCCTCCTCTGTAACCATCACCTGGCTCAGGGTCACAGTATTGCTTCTTTTACATTTTCTGTATTTAATTCTTTCCCAATTCAGTCACCTTCCTAAAACATCTGTAATGCTTTGCCGTCTGCACACACTACCTTTTTGCATAGAGGTCCTCTCAGGGCCGAAAGGAGCATCAGGGAAGAAATAGGGAGAGGGTCTGAGCCTACAGGGTCAGGGAACAAACAGTAAATAGGGTCTGCCAAAAAAGACTCAAGGCTACGAATCCTAGACTAGGAAAGGCTGTTGGACTTGGTAAAGGGCACACAGCAGCTGGTGAACAGAAGATCCACTATGTGGAGCTCTGTTTCTTGTCTGGAGAATCGAAGGACTTGGACTTGCACCATTTGCCATCCGAACTCCAACCCTTCTGGGTGAGACCTCACTGCTGTCTCTGGCAGTGTCCACTGTGGGACAGGAGAACAAGTGCCCCCAGCGGGGAGGACCCAGGGTGCTCCTCACTGCCCCCCACAGTTGCCTTCCTGCCCACCAGGGCTGGATTCAGAACCACCACCTCCTCCCCCACCAGACCCAAGACCCCTTCAGCCTTTGATTCCTGTGTGACTCCCCACTGGTGGCTGTGGAGGTCTCGCCTGCTGCACTGGGCTGTCCGAGGGCATTGCCCTCAGTGTAGACCATTTTCATATCACCTCCTGGAGAGTGTGTCAGCCATTCCTCAGCTGTCTCCCAAGACACATCAGCTCCCCGCGGGCTGGAGGAAGTAGACCTGGCATGGGTCTCCGAGGATTCCCTAGGCACTATCCTAATCCGTGCAACCAGAGAAAAACTGAGCACAGTGCTAAGGACTTAACCCATGACCTTGCTCTGAGCTCTACACCCCCAACCCTTCTTAAATTTTTTTGCTTTGAGATAGGGTCTTGGTAAATTGCTAAATCACTCAGGCTGGGCTCAAACTTGGGATCCTCCTGCCTTGGCCTCCCAGACTGGTGAGATTACAGGTGCACCATCATCCCCAGCTCAGGGCATCATGGTTGGACATTCATCAGTGCTTGTGAGCATTCTGGACCCAGCCTGTGGCAAGCTAAGTAGGGGTGGATGGAGCAGGCAGCGCTTGTGGAGCGGGGTGCAGCATGAGTGGAAAAGCTTCAGGTGAACCAATCTCAAACCGTTCTGAGCCCAGTAACCGAGAAGCCAGGGTAGAAGTGTGTTCCTTCTCCCCAACTCTGTTTGAAATTCCTCTCCTTTTCATGACAGGCCAATCTGACCTTTGATCCAGCGGCCCTTCTGCCCGGGGCCTCACCCAAAAGTCCTGGCCTCAAGGCCCTGGTGTCCCCGTTTCACAGCCCTCCATCCACCCCTAGCAGCCCCGGTATGCGGCCTCGACCCAGCGAGACAGAAGAGGTCCCCGTCAGCTTCGACCAGCCCCCAGAAGGGAGTCACCTGCCCTGCTACAACAAGGTACACATGCCCAGAGCACAGAAATGTGCTTTGGATTCACAAGAGGGACAACCCTGTACCTCTCTCCTCTTGTCCTGGAGTGAGGAGGACACGTTTGACACCAGAGTCGGAGCTGACCTTTCCAGGAGTGTAATCTCTCCTCTAGCTTGTAGGTGACTCCTGACTGGGGTCACCTCTCCACCCGCCTGCCTCTCTCACGTTTGCCCCATCATCCTGTCACCCATCCAACAGGCGAGCTGAGAGGACCCTGTCCTCCATCCTTCATGGAGAGAGGGATGGAAACCAATCCCAGCTGCACAGATGGGGAAAGTCAGAACCTGGGGACAAAACTAAACCCTTCCATGTGAGTTCCAGACAAGGTGGCCAGGATCCCTAGGACTCCAAAAAATCTGGTTCTGCCCTGGTCCAAAGTAACTCAGTATGGGTCCCATCGTTCTTGCATAGTCAGAGGACATACAAACTGTTCTCTTTGCTGAATATGTCTCATATCAGTGGTGCTGTCCTGATGCTCTGTGTATGCTCTCTTCAGACCCCTAGCCCCAAAGGGGGAAGTGGGGAGCAAGCTACAAGTCCAGGGCTGGCTGAGCGGGTGCCAGCAACACTGGACAGAGCCAGGCAGGGCCACATGGATGAGGGTCTGATGCTTTGGAATTAAGGATGAAGAGTCAGATCCTCCAAGCCAGTCAGGAAACCCATCTAGCAAAAGAGGTCATAGATATCAAAACAGGTAGGGGCAAGGACATGACCAGCAGGTAGGAGGGCAGGCTTGAGCCTGCTGGCTGGGGACATGCTGGAAGCCCTCCATCGTGAGGTGACAGAGCCTCCTCAAAGCAGACAGAAGCCAGCAGAGAGCTGCTCTTCCCCAGGAGTCCTTGGCCTGGTCATCATCCAGAGGCTTCAGCCTTCCGGCAGCAGCTCCCAACTGGCCTTGGGGACCAGGGCTCTTTCCTGAAAACCTCAGAGGTGGAAATAGGATTGGCAGATATCCAACGGTCAATCAGTGGGACAAGAGTCACAGAAAGGTAGTGTCCCTGAAAGTTTTAGAGAGTGCCTCGCTTGAGGCAAGCATTGCATCCAATCAGAATATTTTCATGGCTCTTTCAACGGAGTCTGAGACCATGTGCCTCTCAGACAGGAATCGTTTCCAGACAGTTCTGCTGTGAATCCTAAGGTTCAGCTTCAGACTTGGCTGTCCCCACAGTGGCCAGCTTTGTGGGGAGTTAGCTGGCCACCAGCTGTCTAGCTCAATATGCATGAGACTCGAATGCCAGGGCCAGGTATTGCCAGGCCCCAGTCCTCTTCCCTGGTGGGTTCTCCTTTGTCCAGTATCATTTTCAAAATGTTAAAATACAAGTCTTGCCTGGTGGATCATTGCTAGTTTGAGTCCAGAGAGAAAAAATAATTGGACACTGAAACAGCTAATGTTTTACAGGTAGTAAAATCGTTTTTTCTTGCTGGAAAGCAGTTGTGTCTCTAGGAGGCTTGTGTCTGTGGGGCTTACAACCCCATAGGCTCTAACTCATAGCCCAAGGCAGGGGTTCTAGTGCTCCTGGGGATGAGCTGAGCCCTGGGTGCTCGCCTTGAGATGCTGCGGTGCTCCTCTTGCTAACTGTCCCTCACGCCTCCTCCAGGTGCGGACGAGGGGCTCTATCAAAAGGCGCCCCCCTTCCAGAAGGTTCCGAAGGTCTCAGTCGGACTGTGGGGACTTTGGAGATTTCGGAGCCACCGAGCCATCTCAGGAGAATGGTGCCAGGGAGAACGGGGATGAAGTGTTCCCACCCAAGTGCCACGCCCTGGGCTCCCCACCACCCCATGGGGGTGTGCTGGGAAGCGGGGTGCTGGTGGGCAAGCCCCCTCTGAGGAGAACATCGAGCTGCATAGAGAAGCAGGAGGACAGGCCCAGATGGAGCCCAGAAGAGGCCAGCAGGAGCTCAGCACAGGAGGGGACCCCCGAGTCACCCCAGACCTCCGGCCCAGAGAAGGCGGAGGACGTGTGTGTGCGCCCTGCAGAGGACAAGGCTGCTGAAGAGGAAGCAGAGCCGGGGAAGTCTGAAGAGGCAGAGGGGGGAGACAAAGAGGGCAGCCCTGGCCAGAAGAGCCAAGATGCAAAGGCAGAGGAGGGGACCCAGGGGGAGGACACCCCCCAGACTCCTCCCGGAGGAGTGGAAGGCAGCAGCGTCCCCTCAGAGGAGGAAGGCAAAGAAAAGCAAGCTCAGGGCTGCAGCCCCAGCCCTGCCACACCAGAGCCTGGCAGCGACACCCACAGTGGGCCAGCTGTCCCCACGGTAGGTGACACAGGGACGGCTGTTCCAGGCCATCTCAACGCTTTGCCATGTGCCCTGCTCCCCTCAGTCCAGGGTAAATCAGCTCAGTATGCAGGGACAAAGGCACCAGCCTCCTGATGTGTGCCATCTGCATGGGGACAGGCCGTGGCCAGTGGTCAGGGACAAAAGGACAGAGAGGGCAATGTGTCGGGGCTGCGTCCAGCTTCTCGTTGATGGTCCCACAGGGAAGGAGAGAGACTGGCACAGCTCGGTCACTGGTCTGCCAGCGGCCACCAGAGAGTAGCTGGCATGAAGGTGGCATTAGAGTTGGGCTTTAGGAAGGAGCCTCATGGGGCTTCGGGTCATTTGCCAGCTGCACAGGAAGAGGGCGTCCCCCCGTCCCTGTCCTCTTGTCTCCTGGACCTTCCCTAACACCTATCTATGCTGTGGGTGCAGAACCAGTCAAGGCCTGGGATGTTCCCCAAGAGAAACTCAGCCCCTGGTGGCTGTAGCTCAGTGGCACAGCCCTTACCTAGCATGTGTGAAGCCCTGGGCTTGACTTCTATTACTGCAAAAAGAAAAAGAAAAACTCAGGGTCCCAGCCTGCTACCCCCAATCCTGGTGACCTCATCAGCCTGGTCACTTCTGAGTGGTTTCTGTTCCCTTGCTGTTAATCTGGTCATCTGTCCACTCTTCCACTGTTGGCCTTCTGGACCAGCAGCCTCTTACCAGACCCCCCCAGTGGGCGGGTGTATTAGTTTAGATTATCTTTTTCTTTTATATTTGTGTTGTTTGTGATACCGAGAATTAAACCCAGGACCTTTACACTGAGCTACATCCCCAGCCCTTTTTAAATATTTTTTTTATTTTGAGCAAGGTCAATGTCAGTAAATATCCCAGACTGAGCTGTAATTTGTGATTTTCCTGCCTCCGCCTCCCAGAGCACTGGGACTACAGGTGTGCACCACCACGCTGAACTGGATGGTTTATTCTCTGCTGAATTACCCAACTTTCTTGTTAGAGTTGCCTTCCAGAGTAGCACGAATTTGGAAGCATAAACAACAGAAAATATATACCACCTCACAGTTCTGGAGGCTGGAACTTCAAAATTAAGATATTGACAGCTTGGCTTGCTGTGGGGATCTGGAGGAGGATTCATTCCTCTCCTGGAGCGCCATGCGCTGGCCCTGGAAGCCTGCCCTACCCAGCCAGTGCATCCTCAAGTGGCCTTCCCTGTGCCCGTGTCTCAGGACTCCTCCCTCTTGTCTGATAAGGTGCCCCATTGGATCTAGGAGTATTTTGATGCAAAGAGAAACTGGACTCTCACTTCTTTGTTCACTTGATGAAAGAATTCAGTGAAGACACCGAGGCCTTGTAGCAGTCTCGGTGGGATTTATTGTAAAGTAGAGACACAGGAGGTTATGCCATCAAGCAAGAGGATGGGCAGTGTCATGAAGGCACCAAAACCAAGCATGATTTTTCTGTATTTCTAGGTTGGTTGATTTTGTTGTTGTTGTTGTTTTGTTTTTGTTTTTGTTTTGGTACCTAGGATTGAACTTACAACTTCATGCTCACTGGTCAGATGCTGGCCACTAAGCTACCTTCCTGGCCCCAGTTTAATGTATTTCTATGTACCTAGAGTTACTCTTGAGGTTCTGGGAGCTAGGATAATTATGATACTTAACAACATTTTATTTGGAAGTTACTTTGAAATTGTGAAATACCTTCCTGTCCCTTTCGTTGGTTGGTTGGTTGGTTTTTTGAGACAGGATCTCGCTATCTCAAAGTTCAGGCTGAACTCACTGTGTAACCCAGATGGGCCTCAAACTCGTAGTGATCCTCCCACCTCAGTCTCCCAAGTGCTGGGATTACAATTATGTGCCACCACGCCCAGCTGCCTGTGCCTTTTACATGGACAATGTTTCCTCAAGAGCTTGAATAACATACGGAACTTATGACAGAGAATTTGATAAAATAAATTCTTGATTGTTTTGGTCTGTCTTTGAGACAAGATCTCACTATGAAGTCCAGGCTGGCTTTGAATTCACAGCAATCCTCCTGCCTCAGCCTCCCAAGGGCTAGGAAAATTCTTGATTTAAACGAGGTCCAACATAGGAGGGCCTTAAAGAACAGTTCCTTTCCTGATATCACTGATCAGCGGGCTGTGGCAGCCAGGAATGCTGCATACCTTGTTCTAGGATTAGATGACCAGGCAGCCAAGTACTAGGCAGTGTGCCCTGTGGCATCACTTTAGGTCTGTGACCTAAGGAATGACTCTATATGTGTCAGACACTGAAATCTTCCTTTGCATAACTGGTAACACAGCCCCTCGCGCCCACCCTCATCCTGGTAATGTCTAACTACTCACCTAACAAGTCATCTTGGGATCCTGCATCACATCTACAAAGACCCATGAATGAAGTCACAGCCCTAGGGAGCAGGGATGGCATCATGGGACCAGACGTACCTGTCTCTCCCTGACTCCAGCCTCCTTATGCTCCAGCCTGGCTGTTGCTTTTATTTTTCAAGCACACCAGGCTCATTCCCACCTCTGAGCTCCACCTGGGCCGTTCCCTTCTCACTGCCTGATCCAGCCCACTGCTGGGTCTTAGTCCAGATGAGCTCCTGCCCTCCTGCTCAGCTACTCAGTGGCTTTGTGATGGTGGCTTTTCAATGCCCTTGTCTTGCTGATGCTGTGAAGCCCAAACCTCTGGCTCTAGAAAAAAAGCAACCAACGCCCCACGAGCATCCCAGAGGTGTCCAGGTCCATAGCTCAGTGTACAGATGGACGGGCCAGCTGCGGTCAGCAATCAGCTCTCAACTGGCTCCTGTGCCCAGGTGCAGCGCAGGGTTCATCTGCAGGGTGTTGCCTTGGTCTTCTCTTGTTCCCCTCAAAGCTGGGCAACATTAGAATCAAACCTCCCAGGCACTAGTGCCTGCGGACTTGGCCTCCCCTGATGTGGTCGTGGCAGAATTCTCACCACTTGATCCCCTCTCCATCTTGTACCCTGATTGATGGAAATAAATTGATCACATAAGCTAATTGTGGTCACACGCATACAATCAGCATTTAACAAGTACACATTTTCCCTCTCACCGCAGCCAAAAAGCAAGTAAAATCAAACACAGTTGGGGAATCAGTGGGACTCTCCTCCTAATGGTGCTTTGTGAACACAAAGGAGGAGGCTATTCATCCTTCTGAGAAAGGGGACCGTTTCCTAATTACGCCAAAGGCACCAGAGGGAAGAAAGCACCCAAAAGGGCTGATTTCCTCTGGGCTCAAGGGTTCATACCTGTAATCGCAGCACTCTGAAAGGCTGAGGCAGGAGGATCGAAAGTTCAAGTCCAGTGCAGTAATTTAGCAACTTAAAGACACCCTGTCTCAAATTTTAGAACTAGAAAAAAAAAAAAAAAAAGCTGCGATGTGTTCAGTGTTAAGACCCTAGGTTCGGTCTCCATCTCAGGAATTTAAGACCACCAGGGTCCACACTGTTGATGAGGATAGGTAGCACCAGGAAGAAGGCAGGGACTCAGCTACAACTCTGCCACTTAAAATAGACTTCACATGTGTTTTTCAAACACTCACTACCTGTCCCGTCCTGGGGCAGGGGCTTCACAGATGCCCACACACAGATACTCTAGATGTTGTGACATCACTCCAAGGACTTTGATGTCCAAATGGGAAGTGCCGGATTTCCTAAGTCATTTCCTCAGTCTCTGCTTTTGCAGTGTTGGCTTTGAATTTCCTCTTGCCCTTTGCCCACTTCCAAGTGTTTGCCTTGCCTTTTCCTTTCTTCCCACCCAGGGAACGGCATGTGGGGCACTCCACCCCTGAGGCCCTCTCCCTGCCCAGCACCTCCACCAGGCCAGCGCTGCCTTTTCTCTCTGATCTCTACAGCCTTAACTCATGCCCAGCAGGATTCTTGCACATCCGCACCAAATCTATCTTCCTGAAAGTGCTCTCTCTGGCCAGCTTATGCACCACAATAATGCACACTTCTTATCCTAGTTCTAGGAAGGCTGAGACAGAAGGTTAGCCTAAGTTTGAGGTCAGCCTGGGCTACATAGCAAGTTCAAGACTGTTCTGGATGATGTACCAACTTCCTGTCTCAGAAACAAACACAGAATGAAAACCCATTTCTATCTTTCTACTCTTCTATCCTAGACTCTTTACTCTCTACCTGCTAAGTTTTGCTAGTGCCCCTGATCTTTCCAGGCCCCACAGTGGGGCCCAGGACTTCACCCACCATCCCTTGCTGGAACCTCTCCCCACAGTGCCAGCTGCTGTGGCTCCAGCCCCAGGTGGACTCAGCCTTCCCTGCCACCACACCTCTGCTTCTCCCAGCCCTTTCCTGCCTATCCCCAGCTCCTTGGATCCTTACTTGTACTCTGGATGGTCCACACCCTCACTCCTAAATGTCTCTGTTTCTTAGCTCGGCACTGAGGAAGGCAGAGCCTGCCCTTCGGTATCCCACCCAGCACAGGAGACCTAACCGTGAGACCTCTGAGCAGATAAAGAACAAGCAGCCACTTGGCTGTTCTTCACTCAAGTATCAGTCTTTATTTTTTTGCAGTGCATCAAACCCAGCACTGCATGCATGGCGGGCAGGGGCTCTACCACTGAGCTGCACACCTCCCCGGAAGTCTTACTTTCAACTCTGTTATGTTGCCCAAATATCTTGAGCAGTGTTTCAGGGAGACAAAGTTGAGCAGAAACAAGAGTAAGCTAAGAGAGCAGGGCAGTGGGACAGAGTAAGCCAGGCAACAGGGCAAGAGCAGTAATGCCCTACTAGTTGAGACCAGAACTCCAGTTCCTGGGTTTGAATCCTGTCTCCTGCACTTATTAGCTGTTTGACCTGAGGAAGCCACTTCCCCTCTTGTGCCTTTGGTGTCTCACCTATAACACAGAGTTAATAGAAAAGCCTGATTCCTAGTGCTTTTGGGAGGCTTGAATGAGTGATGTATGTAAAAATTTATGTCAATAACATTCTGTGACTCCTGCTATTCTTAGAGAACATCAGCAAGGTCAGGATTTCTCCATCCCTGCCTAACTCCTGCTTTCCTCTCATGTCCCCAGGATGAGCCCCCGGCGGAAGGTACTAAAATGTGAGGAGGAGGTCATGAAGCACCAGTGACGAAGCTGCCAGAGTGACGGAGCTGCTGTCTTGGGAAGCGGCAGCAGCGACAGGAGCAGAAGCAGAATATTCACCTGGGGCCGAGTTTCCAAGTGACTGTCTTGGACAGGCGGAGGGTAGATCCAAGAGCAGCAGATGTCTATCAGCTTGAGTCTCTGTCACTAAATGGATTTGGTCTAAAACGCAAATGTATTTAAAACAGTAAACAGTGGTGACACTGCCCCAGGGACATGGCCCAGCCTGGGGCCTCTGGATCCTCCCCATGCTTTGGCAGCTGGCCTCCTCACCTTTCGGGTGAAGCTTATCAGACATTGCCTGTGTAAAGTTACAGCCTTTTTACTGTTCTGAAATGTTTACGGTTCTCATAGATCAGTAAAAATTAATACTAAATGAACAGGAACAAAAGAAAGCAGTCCTGCTGAAAAATACGAACAAAAGATCTTACATGGTATCACGATCCAGGAGACAGCCTGTCTGGCACCTTGCTCCAAATATGAAGTGCACAATCGATTTTGAAAACATTGGGCTAGAAAAGATAATTGAACTTAAAAAAAAAATGGTAAGTCAGAGGCTGTGGCACATGCCCGTCATCCCAGAACACTGTGCGGCTGAGCCAGGAAGGTTGCAAATTCAACCCCAGCCTGGGCAATTTAGGGACTTGGTGAGACCCTGTCTCAAAATCACTAAGAAAGGGCTGAGGACATAGCTTAGTGCAAGGCCCTGAGTTCAATTCCCAGTACCATAGGGGGTGTCAGTAATACCAACAAGCGCCTTTCTGTTCCCATAGTTCTAATTCCCAGCCTTGTGTCCTCCTTGAGGACGCCGTGGGACTCCTACAAAGCTGCGGGATATCAAATGGTCCCCCTGTCCGTGCTGCATTTCTGCCTCTCTCAAGTGCAGCAGTCCCTAGGGTCCACAGGATGGGTCACTTACCTGCAGTGATGGGTTTCGAGCTCACAGAGCCCCTCTGAGCTGAATTCGTGTTTTCCAGCGGGTGCCTAAGCTGCCTTAGAAAACCTCCTCCCTCACTTCCTGGTAAGCTTTTCCTCAGCCTAAACCAGGTTTTCATCCCTGCGGCAGGCAGCGCAGGAGAAATGAGCTGGGGCCTCTGCTCCCTCCTAGGTAGCTCCCGCCCTAACCCTCTGCCTTTGCAGAGGACTATCACCTCACGCACCCGGCAGGATGAGCAGGCTCAGTCCTCAGTTTGCTTTGGGCATTTAGACTCACCCCGCCTGCTTCTGTCTCCGGCACCAGAAGGCCTCCGGTCACCAGTGGTTCCTCAGTTTTCTCATCCAATTTACAGTTTTCCTCACTTCAGGATAGTGTTAATATTACGGTATATTTTTTTTCAAAGCTATTTTTAAATAGTTTGTAATTTGCAACAGACTTGTAACCTGGTTGAGACTGATACTATCATAACGATCATAAACTTTGGATTTAACAGAATCCAGGAGATAATGTGTGTCCGTGATTTTTTTCAGATTTGTATACCATTGGCCTCTGTAGATCACCAGAGATGTCCACCCCCTAAGTGACAGATGTTTTATTCATGCGTGCCTTCAGGCTGGGTAGACCCTCACAGAGCTCTGGGCAAGCACTTTGAGTAGGAGGTAGCTTTGAACATGTGATGACAGGGTCCACCCTCTCTTACTTGAGAAAAATGGGACACACACTGGACTATAGACGTGAAAATAAAATTTTTTTCTCAAGTAGGTGTGTGTGGTTGTGCATGCCTATCATCCCAGCATTCTAGGAGACAGAGGCAGGCAGATCACAAATTCAAGCATAATTTGGGTAACTTGGTGAAGAGGTAGCTCCCCAGCAACACACACAGAACCGCCCTACCCATTGAATTACATTGTAGGTTCACTGATGCTCATAGAAAAAGAATTTCGGATTCATCAGGAAGAGGCATAAAGGGAGATACTACTAGACAGGCATTTTAAAAGTAGATTTCAAAGAAATAAGCGAGGTGCCCTCTGATCTGGAGCTGGGTATGTCTGAGATGCTTGGGGTGTCTTCGAGATGGGGATCTCGAAGATCCCCATCGGCTCCTCTGGTGTCAGGAGACAAAACGTTTACACTCTGAGGTTGAGATCCACTGCCTGCTAAGGCTGCCGCTTCTTTGTGGCTGGAAGTCTGGGAAGAACTGTCATTTACAGGTGAAAATCACAGGCCCAGAGCCCTCTGATAGCATTATTGTCTTTCAGACCCTTAGGAATTTTTTTTTTTCCAGCATAGAAGGGAAAAAAGCTTATGTGTGTGTTTCCAAGCTACACTTTTTCTTCAAAGCACAGTTCCAAAATTCTGATTTTCCTTGCTTCTTTTTTACCCATCTTTATTTCTTCTACCTCATAATATATGGCAAGTAAGGGAATAAATGAGTGCAGAGGCAACTATGGCCACTCTCTGCTCAGACCTTTTTATTACAGGAAAGTTTCATAGCTCTGAATGAATGAGGACTCCGCAGCTGACGCCAGGGACCCAGTGCGGACCAATGGGTGAACGCAAAGCCGCACCTCCCTGTGAGCTCCTCCCATCCACAACCAGGAAGTCCACGGGTAGACTTAACATAGCCGCTCAAGCCAGTCAGGAATCTCTCCTAATACCAGCCTCCACTTTCCTCTGTGTGGGCCGTCCATGCAGGCAGGCTCCTCCAGCGGAAGAGCTCTCTCTTCCCAGTAACTGTAGGAAGAATCCTGCAGAGCTTCCCATAGCCCCGGGGTGGCACATGTGCCCATTCCTGAACCCATTGTGGGGGCCGAGGAGAGGCAGGGATCATACATGTGCCCTCTCTCGGAGCTACAGTCCCATCAAATCCACAAGGGTGCTGTTCTAGGCAGCTAACCCAGGTAAAAGTTAATATACAGAGAGAGGCAGCACTCTCAAGGAAGTCAGCACAATAAAGACATCAAAATTATGGCTGGAGGTCCATCTTAAAAAGTCCAGACCTCAAGATAAAGATGCACCTGAGGGTGGTGTTGCACACCTGTAATCCCACACGCAGAAGGCTGAAGCAGGAAGATCACCTTCAGGTGAAAGGCATCCTGGGCTGCACAGTGAGTTCAAGGCCAACCTGAACTACACAGCAAGACCTTGTCTCAAAAAAGCAAACAAAAAAGATAAAGACACAATGGCCAAACCTACATGCTTCTCTAAAAAATGAACAGTAATTTAGAATTATACTATAATCAGCACCACATGGTTCAGGAATCCAGATAGGCATCAGTTGCCCAGGTGAGTGCCCAGAACATCTGGACCTCTCCCTTCCCCACAACGCCCTTGCTATGTGCCTTGTTTCCCTATTGGCTCACTATTAGCTAAGCAGCTATACTTGCAATCCTACAGGTTGATTGTAGCTAGGCCCACATGGTACCAAGTTGTGACTTTGTTGTATAAATCACTCCTGACAAAGGGCTGCCACCCCGCTGGGAACTCCTGGAAATCCAGGAACTGTTTTTCTCTCCTTATTTCCAATAATACTCTTCCAACTTCTTCCTTTAGTCTGTGACTTCATTCTTCAGTGTCGTGGGACCACAACCTGGGCACATTTGACATCTAATGGGCTGGGAGTTTTATATTGCTCCTACCCCCGTTATCAAAAGAAATGCTAGGGAAGCCCCCCACTCCCCAAAAATAGCTGTCCCTAATTGAAACACCAACATACTCATCCATTGTTTGCTTCAAAATTAAATTTTGCTTGGTTCTAGTTTTTGCTTGGAGGACTGCCAGGACCTTGAAAGAGGAGCATTTGTCTCCATTTTGGCTAAACATGGCTCTATTTCCACATATTGATGTGTACAGAGCTGGCTAGGCCCATTTACGTTGCTCAACGCCAAATGGGTCTAGCCAAGGTGCTGATGTGTGGTCTTTAAAGCAATGCGCAGGTCAGTAATGCCGCCCTGCCTATAGCTTCCGAGTGGGGTGCGTGAGCTAGGCTGGGATTGGGCCTCCAGAAGGAGGCTATGATGTCTCAGGACATGAAGATTACAGATGAAAGCCAAAGCACTGACCCCTTAAGGAGATACTTATTTAGTCTGTGGCATGTAGATTGTTCTCTCTCTCTCTCTCTCTCTCTCTCTCTCTCTCTTTCTCTCTCTCTCTCTCTCTCTCTGCAGATTACAGTGGTGCCACTGTGCCTCCTACCTAGCACAGCTCACGTACTCACAACGCTCACATACTTCCCTCCTTTCTCTCAATCATTCACCCTGAGCCACTTCACAAATTAGTAAAACCTGGGTTTGGTCTTTGTTCCTGTTAGCCTTTGTTCTGAGTGGACTTAGGACCCCGTGGATCTCCACAACTGCAGATATGTATTTATCGCTTTATTCTTTCGTGGGAGTGGTAGATTGGAATTGACTTGCTAGAATTCCAATAAGTTTTCCATGGGGTTAAAAGTATAAACTCCCCTGGACTGCAACAAGCTCTGGGAAGGGCTTTCCATACTAGTTAACTCTGTGTGCTAAGCACCAGGTAAAAGGAGCACAAACTTAGTGCTCATGAGAGGCAGGAGTTGGGGGGGGGGTGTCAATAGCACTGAGTAAAATTCAACTGTCACTCAAATAAAAATGGTTCAGAAGCCACCCAGAAAAGCAGGCCTATTGTTGTATGTGATTATGCACTGCTCTTCCTAGAACTACACTGCAGCCCTATGAGGAAGGATCCGTATTAATCTTTACTGTTCTCAGAGCATCTTACATCATTCTAAGTGCTTAATAAATATTCATTAAATAATGAATGATTGTTTGGGAGAATGGTTCTTAACATTACAAGCCCCCCAAGATCCTCATCTGATGCCTGAAATGTCAGAATTAATGAGGAGCCAGGCATGGTAGCACATACCTATAATCCCAAGACTCAGGAGGCTGAGGCAGGATGGTCACTGCAAATTCAAGGCCAGCCTGGGTTACATAGTGAGTTCAAGGCCAGCCTGACTACAGAGCAAGACCTTCTCTCAAAAAGAAAAAAAAGAAAAACTCCTTTGACATTGGTATTACTTCGTGTTCAAAAAGCAAATACCCCTGAGACAGACCACATTTTAAGTCTCCTATATCATTTACATCTTCTCCTGAGTTGGGTTTTGTTTTCGTTTGGTTTTTGTAGCACGGGAATGAAACTCAGGATGCTTTACCACTGAACTACAACCTCATGGTCCTTTTTATTTTATTTATTTTGAGACAGGGCATCATTAAGTCGAACAGGATGATGCTGAATTTACCTGCTCAGCCTGCCGAGGAGTAGTTGGAAATTGCAGGTGCTCCCCACCCCCCAGTCAGTTGTGAAGTGGCTTTTGAGCTCTGTCCCACAGAGGGTTAACAATGAAGCACAAAGTACATAGAGGTCTTGAGCAGGAAGCCACTTTTCTGTCATTCTTCCTTGGGGTGAACTGGACTCCCAAGGAGACCAGTGTGATCTGACCAGCCTGACTGCGGGTGCTGAGAAAGGAGCACTGTTTGCCCTCAGATCCCAGGAGAGCTGTGAGAATTCCCACTGTGGTTAAATGGAGCAGGAAACTGTGGTCCTCTGAGACTGCAGAGATGATAAATGTCCGTGCTTCACGGACATTTCTGTGAAAGGCGGCCAGAAGAGTAACACCACCCACAAGAACAAAAGAGTTTTTACTCTTCCTCCTAATTCTGGACAGTTGGGATTCTCCAAGGGAGCTGGACCACCTTGGTCAGGGAAATGCTTTGAAGGGATATGGGCAGAAAGGTAGAGACAGGCTAGCATCTCTCCCTGGACAGCTGGGAAGTACTGACAGGGTTTTTAACTACATAAATCTGCTGCATCCTCATGGTGATGGTCTAACACAGCAAAGAAACCACAAAGAATACCTTATCAGACTTTTTCTTCCTGATTCAAGCCAGACTCCACCTCTCCTTCCTGTGTGCTCCAAAGATTCCCAATCCCCATCCTGTGCACACAAACACATAGCAATCTATCACTGTCAGCTAACCATACTCCTCTCCAGAAAGGTAATCTTCATAAGCGACCCCCAATCCTTTGTCCACCGAGAGAGCTCCCGCATTCTCAGAGCATGAATCTCTCCCGTGCCTGCATTAAAGGTCTTTCCGTTCTTTGTCTTTCTCCTCGTAATTTCTGTGCTTTTAGATTGAGTCACAAAAATACTCAATCACTGGCTCCAGCCCTTCATGATCTAGTTATACACAGAAATTTGAAATAAATTTCTTGAAAATGGGCAAATTTATAAAATCAGTTATCACACTGTTACGATTTAGATCTAATATCCCCCCCATCCCATGTGTGGATCGGGAGGATGTGTTGGATCGTGGAGACACTGCCACTCGTCAGTACATCCATCCAGCACGAGTCCTGGTACATAGATGAACGCAGTGCGGTTAGGAGATGGGCCTGGCTGGCATGACCAGGTCGCTGGGGTATGACCTGGAAGTGGGCAGCTCACCTGCTGGCTCCTCCTTTCTCTCTACGTCCTAGCTGCTATGGGACGAGAAGCTTTCCTCAGTCATGTGTTCCACCATGCCATTTCCACGCTGGAGGCAGAGGCCATGGATCGAACCCTCTGAAAGCCATGACCTGCTCCTGTAAGTTTCGAATGTAGGTTATTTTCTCCCAGCAACAGGATAATGACTAATACACCCACTCAGCAATTGCTTCTGTTTTTAAAGGATGAATGGAATGAACTGTACCTTACGCAGCATTCAAAAACAAGATTCTAGAACCATTGTACGGT